CTGCTGCTGCTGCTGCTGCTGTGGCCGCGGCTGCGGCTGCGGCTGCTGCGGGAACTGCAGCTCCGGGGTCTCTGGTGTCTCCTCCGCCTCCTCTTCATCTATAAAGCTTAGCATCTCCCACCCAAACACCAAGCCCTAAGCCCTAAACCCTAAACCCTAAACCCTAAACCCTAATGCCACCGCAAGCAGGATACTAGCCAGAAATCGCCGGCTGCGCTGCGGCAGGGGAATCAAAGAGAGTAAAAAGAATAAAGAAGTTAAAAAAAGATGAATTTATTTATAAATAAATAAATTCACACTGAGCAAAGGCACAAAGCTTGGGGCCTCGTGAGAGGCAGGGGGCCCCATGGGGGGCCCCGATCGCAGCTCGGCTGAGCCTGCATGCAGTGGTTGTTGGGTTTAGGGTTTAGGGTTTAGGGTTTTTTAATGTCTTTATCTTTATCTTGGTGTTGTATTATAATTCTTTCTCAGTGCGAGAGAACAGGGAGGAAGCCCCAGCTCTCTGCGGCATGAGCACCCTAAACCCTAAACCCTAAACCCTAAACCCTAATGCACAACCCGCTACACTAGGGGCCCCGCGAGTACTGACTCCCCCCTGTTTAACGCTAAACCCTAAACCCTAAACCCTAAACACTGGGCTCAAGACACCTAACAGCTCTAGAGTGCCAGACTCAAGGCCCTAAACCCTAAACCCTAAACCCTAAACCCTAGCCCTGCAAAGAAGCAACAGGGCTCTAGCGCTACGGCGGCCTCTACAGCTGATGCGGCTCTAGGGTTTGAGGCATTTGCATGGGCCTAGGGTTTAGGGTTTAGAGGGTTTAGGGTTCCAACGCAGGTCTAGAATATACAACGCTGAAGGTTTAGGGTTTAGGGCTTAGCGTTCCGCACTGAGGTTTGCTGTTTATGTTTAGGGTTTAGGGTTTAGCTGTTTGTGTAGTGGGGTGTCTGTACAGCCCACAGCTCTGAACAACAAAGTAAAATTAAATTAAATAGAGACAAAAAGATAATATAAAATATAAAAGTTTTTGTTTAGCTCTCATCGTCTGATGAAGAGCCCGAGGAGCTGCCTTCC